AATATATTATACGAACTATTTTCCCCAAATACTTTCACCCAATGAGCAATGAACATATGTTAAAACTTTGTTATTAACAGGAGAACCGATTCATATGTTATAATCATTTTTAGCCAATAAAGTATTTGATATGAAAATAACCTAAACAATTCTGCTTTGGCTGGGCGCACCTGATGGATGGACATTGACTGGTCGGTGATGCGTTAATTAAATCGGCCGATCAATCAGGCCTTAACCAGCGGCTGCCTTCGTTTTGCTTGGCGGTATTGGCGCCCTGGTTAGCCCTGATTTCTGGTCGAATTCATGGCACAAATTCTGCACCATGGCCCCTGCCCTCTTGGTCCTTGCGAATTGCGATGGCAGCAAGCAGATGTGATCTAGACGGGGAGCTCCGGAAGACCGGAAACGACGACCTGATTGATCGGGAGCAGGCCATGATGGGGAGAGAGTTTTGGAGAGGCACGGTCAAACTAGGATGGCAAGCCCAAAACTATGGAAACAAATAAAACAGGCTATCAGAAATTAGACCCAAAATTGGGGGCCCCTGAAACTTGAGGGCCCTGTGCGGTCGCACTGCTCGCACATGGCCCTGGACGGCCCTGTCCCAAACGCACTCATTCAACACTTGATTCCAACACAAGTATATATCGTTCATACTTGTGCGAATGAGGCCAGCCACCTACCTGCAAGATAACCATTTCCCCCCTATTCGTTACAAACGTTAATGCCAGAAGACAAGACTCCATGTATGGCCAAACACACTCATTCAACAGTTGATTCCAGCACAAATAATGGAATGCTGAGAGCACTACAAAGTAGCAAAAAAAAGTGATTTTCATATGGGGAATGGACATTCATTTATTTCAGATCTCTCATTATGCAATGCAATGCAAATGAGCAGTATGTGGGACTAAAAGGTTACGGTGTATCGATGTCTTGCTCAGGATGCTGGCCGCTCCGTATAGAACTTGTCTGGTTAATTTTTTAGTACAACAAATTGTATTAACTTCGCTCTGGGTCCAAAATATTACTCACTTGCTCTCAACTCCAATAATTACTCATTGAGCCTTTCATAGAGGGCGTGTATCTATTTATTGTTGATGCAAATGACACCGACAAGGTTGAAGTATGGGCCAATATATTAATTATTCTTGAAGATGATGAATGGGATCTTATTCAAGAGTCCCAAGGACGGAGAGTAATCTAATGTAGTTGTTTCCTGATCTAGTCACTTTTTTATAATTTCCGGAATTAACCTTTCTGCAAATACTAATAGTATTTTCAAGTCAGGTTAACAATGACGATGTCCGGATTTCGAGTGTAATATGCACACGATGGTTGGATCTGAAAGATTTGCCGTTGAAAGTCAAGACTAAGTATCTGATTCAGCTTGTTGCAAAAATATTTATCCTCAATTTCTACCTTTTTTGTTCAGTGTCATACATGACTAGGTGGTGGTGCATTACCACCACATTCTTTTACTTCAAAATACTGTGAACTACATGGGTAGTTTAATTTAAAGGATTCATACACATTATCACTTTCTGCAGATCAGAGATACTTTGAGCACCAATGTAATCATGGTGTCTGCATTCGGCTAGCGTAGGAGGAGCAGCACGTCAACCTCCGCTCCTAGACACGCACCGGCTGGCGGAGGGCCAGATCTACGGCGAGTTTGTGCGCGAGGAGGCCGTGGTGGCCTTGGCGGTGGAGAACCCAAACTACGTCCACAGGAGCAGCAGGTGCTCTGCGAGGCCACGCGTAATGCTCGTGTGGTGGTCTCGGATGCACCACCAACTGACCCCCGTTGGCGCCGCTTCGACCATGAGACCGGTCCGTCCACGTACATCATGGACCTCACATCTACCTGCGGCGACCAGCGTGTGGGCTTCAATAAGGAGTAGGGCATGGGAGACGGCAGAGCCTCTCGTCTCATTTGGGCCCGTCCATGTCCTATGTCTATTGTTCCTCGCCGGCTGCCACAGATTCAGTCCTCGAGGCTCATGGCCATCAGACATGGACACAGAAGGGAACAACAGGGGCATGGAGGCCGGAAGTTTTCTAGGGCTCACGGACGCCGACGAAGATTTATGAAATATAAGTCACACGCTTTGATTTAGTTGAAATATGACAAAAATGTAATGTATAATTCATGTGTATATCTAACTATAAAGTGACAAGTCAGCATACCGCACCAAACACATTTCATTAATAAAATGCCTAAAATATACAAAATAATAAAACGTACAAAGTTTAAACCATTTTTCATACTGTACCATAAAAATGAAACATTAAAATCTAAAAAACGTTACACAGAACCAAAATACCTATATATTTTACTTATGGCGGGCCCTAGAAGACCGCCGTGGGTATGGTGGGCCATATTTATAGTCATATTAGCAGACAGTCAGCTCACCGCTGTTTCTCTAACAACCAGTGGCGGCATGCTTGATCACCCGCTGCTAGTAATTTTAGCCCATGGTTAATCTGGGCGCAGATTGCCAATGACTGGTACTCGCTCGGTACGAAAATACTCGTAGGGGAATGGATGTATCTAGATGTATTTTAGTTCTAGATATATTTATTTTTATGCATTTCTCCGACAAGTATTTTCGGATGAAGGAAGTAGCTGATAACGTAATTCCGGGACACATTTTGAACCCGTCACTGATATTTGGTTAGATTATCAGTGACTGGTCACTCAGCTTGCCCATTGATTTGACCTTTTATAAGCAATTTCCTAGTAATGTCCCAAAGCCAAGATTAGTCAGCAACCACAAACCAGAGCGTCATGCGAATGAAGAAGACCCACCCTGACGCCACCACGGTGGCCACCGATGGCAAGAAGGGGGAGGAGCAGGTAGAAAGAGGACGTTGACGCCCGGGTCACTTGTTAAGCGATGCGGGGAAGCGAATAATTTCCCAGGAGTTGCGAGTTATTCTCTGTCAGTTATTTTTCAGTTTCACGGCCACTTGGAAATGACCAAAAGGGTTTTAAAGGCATCTCCAACGGCGACCCTTAAATCTTTTGTAACCATTTGGACCGTGCTGTCCAGACCGAGGAAGCCATCCAAGACGGTTATGTATCGGTCCGCGGAGCGGATCGGATGTGATTTCTCCCGCAAGACGGAGATAAACGTGGGGAGGATTGCTGGAGTCCGGACAGCTGTCAAGCCTGCTTCTGACCGTCATGGCCCACCGAAACCCCCTCCCTTGCCCACGCGCGTTCCTGTTCGGCGCCTGCTGCACGCATTCATGCTACTATAGAGCACGCCGCTCCACATTGAAGGCGGCTCAAGGCGGACGCGTCCTCTCACTGCCTCCGCCATTGAAGCAGCGTGCCGGCCGAGGGCGCCGCCCGCTGCAAATCTACTCCGGCCACACGCCCGTTCAGGAGCGGGGTCGCATTAAACGCAACCCTGACCGAGCTCCTCCCGTCTGCCCTCTATTTAAATGAGGCTAGACGTCAGGCAAGGTCGCACCACTCCGCCACTCCACATCTCCTTCTTCTACCAATTTCTACACTGTTTTGATGGCATCTGACGAGCAGGAAGAGAAGTTCTCCGGCATATAAGCAGGCTGGGTGGCCCACCGAGCCCGGCAGACACGGCTCGCTGCTCCACCTCCCTCGCGTAGCCTGACGGAGCCAGTTGCCGCCCCAAGCCAGCACGTGGTTCAGCAACTCGCCGCTCCAAGCTAGCTCGCGGAGGAGCGGCGAGTTGCTCCAGGCCAGTATGGCGAGGAGCATGGCGGCACGGGCATCGACGCCGCCGCGTCATACCGCGCCTCCAGTGCTTGCAAGCGCATCATTCATCACCGACACCCGCGTAGCCGTGCCATGCAGGCAGAAAAAGAAGTTGGGTGCGCAGAGATCGACGAGTCGATGGCCAACGCGTTTGTGTCCACTGACAACACTGAGGAAAAGTAGAACACATGAGGCCGTCGCTGCTTGGGTCCCAGGAGGGCCACCGCCGACGCATCCCCGACTTGTACAGCCGGTGAGGGCCACCGCCGACGCGTCCCCGACCTGTACAGCCGGTGACCCGCCCGGTTTCTTCTTTATCTTAGACCATCCTGGGCATCCACGGAAGCACCCTTCCCCTCTAGCTGAAGCACCCTCTTCGCCACTCTGATGAGCAGCACGGCCGGACATAGGGAAGATACGAGGAAAGAATATTCCTCTGGAACTCCAGGCAGTCCGGTTAGCGGGCTGCCGAACATGGGGAAGACGAAGGGATCTGCCTCGGCCAGCCGTATCATGGGAGTGGAGCTCCGCGCGACCGTACGTGCACATAGTTTTAACTTTTTAGTTAAAATATCTCTAAATATAACCGTTCTCGTCTGATTTATATGAAATCCGCTAGAGTTTGCATGAATTTCATCCGGTTTGTTGAAAGGATGTTTGAAATGTATGTGGCTAGCGTTGGATGGCTGCCTCCCGCATCCGTGTGCGCGGACTGATTCTCTTTGTCCATAGACAGATGCGGGAGGAAACTTATGGGTCGTTGTTGGAGATGCCCTGAAAGGGATGGTGAAAAAGAAGGTTAATTTCAAAAAAGCACACAACGGATCGGCCTAGCTGAGCTACTTAACAAAGCGTCTCACGGTCACGAGTGCATAAACTAACAACTAGCTAGACTACAAAAGAAAAAACACTCACAATTACTAGTACTCATTTCCCCTCTCCCAGGCGCAGAAGCAACGACTAGTAGCAAAGCAACGTGAGTTTCCTTCCCATTTCCCCTCTCCCAGGCGCAGAAGCGCGCGTTGACCTTGACTCCACCCTCCGCTCTCCTTCATCTTCCCTCTCGGAGGCCCCAAACCAAATCGCCATCAGATTTTCAGATCTCCTCTCCTCAATCCCCACTCTCCTGTCCAGCCGCACCACCGCCCAATCCCCAATCCTCCTCCGGCCACAGATCCGTCGGTCCCTGTGCGCCAGCACCGCCGCGTTTACTCGCAGTAGCTAGTCAGCCAAGGGAGAAACGAGAGACACCAAGATGTCAGAAATCGTCAACAACCTCCTCGCCAAACTCGCCGGCCTACTGGGCGACGAGTGCCAGAAGCTCAAAGGGGTGGAGCGTCATGTGCGGTTCCTCGAGGACGAGCTCAGCACCATGAAAGCATTCCTGGATGAGCTGGGGCTGAGGGATGAACTAGATCCCTTGACCAAGAACTGGCGGGACCATGTCAGGGACATGGCCTACGACATGGAAGATTGCCTCGATGACTTCCTTGTCAATCTTGGAAGTGCCAGTGACAACGCTGGTTTTATCGATAGGACCACTGAGCTTGTCAACATCCTGTGGGCGCGTCACCAGTTTACAAGCCAGATTCAGGAGCTCAAGGATCGTGCTATAGAGGCGAATCACCGACGCAAAAGGTACAAGCTTGATGATAGCAGTAGCTCTAGCTCTGCCCTTGTGCCAGTCGATCCTCGGGTGTCGGCACTCTACAGAGAGGCGGCCAGCCTTGTGGGTATTGATGGCCCAAGGGATGAGATTGTCCGTTGGCTGGCGGATAGTGAGGAAAAACTCAAGGTGGTGTCCATTGTGGGATTCGGCGGTCTTGGTAAAACTACACTTGCCAAACAGGTGTATGATAAGATCGGCGAACAATTCAACTTTAAGGCATTTGTGCCGGTTTCCCAAAGACCCGACATGGCAGCGCTCTTGATTGGGCTAGAATCGAAGCTCAAGGGAACCGAGATTTGTCGCACTCGAAAGGTGCATGACATCATCAACGACCTTCGAGAGCATCTCACGGACAAAAGGTACTTGTTTACTTCAAATAGTCACTTGTGGAATTGCATGCTATAGGCTATAGCTAGTGGATGATGTAACTGTGAGATTCAATTGATGCTCATCTTTTGACTGAGGCTTTATAGAGGAGATTGTGGCATATTTAACATTTTTTAAGCAGTTGTCATAGAGACTTCTTTGAGCATAGGAGAAATCATATTTCAGCTTTTGTCCATGAAAAAATTGAGCTCATAAAAAGGATAATTAAGACCAAAGTTGTAGGACAAAGATAAGTTACCTTGTTTCCATGTACCTCCTAGAGGAATTGATGGTGGAGCTAGAAACATGCCACTTTAGGTGATATAGCCCTTTTGTGTGTTAAGGACACTCTGCCTCATTATAATCGTATTTTATATGGGTACCCTTGCGCATTTTAGTGCTTTTTTAGAAAAGGGGGACGACCCCCAGCCTCTGCATCTGGACGATGCATACGACCATTTTATTAATTATTAATACAAGACCTTACAGATTCATACAACAGTAAGACTAAAGCAACCAACTAAGCAACAACTGTCGCTATCCCTATCCAGTTGATGTAGGGGCGCAGAAAGTCTGGGCCTAATACCAAACAGACCTCGCAGTCAAACCTAACATCTAAGACTTAAGGTCCCAACCAGGATGCCTGCCGGGCATGGGCACCCACCAGTCCGGCGTGCTCCTCAACCAGGACGCCTGCCGGGTATGAGGCCGCCGCAGCCACGTGCCACCAATCCATCTTCAGAGTTGTACCGCTGCATCAATCTTGCCCGGTCTAGCTGCCGCTGACGCCACCACGACGCCAGGCAGCGTCACCCTCCTGCGCGAGTCCATCTCTGCCCATCAGGCGTCGAGTCTCCACTGCCCCACGCCGCCGATGCGCATTTTAGTGTACGTGACCTTTTTGTTTCAATCTTATAACCCGTTTGGTTGTACGTCATTTCTTATCTTTTATTCATCCTAATTGCTTCCATAGTCCATAAGCCTCCACATTCGCCTAGAAAGTAAGAGCTTCTACAGTCGGGCACCTCAAACCGGCCTGAAACGCTCGGACGGCCCGTCCGATCACTGACCCGTCACGAAAATCTGACCAAGATGGGTGCCTCAAACGTGCCTCAAACGCCTGGGCTGACCGGCACACCTCATATCCAGCCCAAATATGGGGCGGATATGGGGGCGCCCGAGTGCGCCCGGGCACGCCCGCCATGTTGGACTGACGATCTGGTCTCACGCGGAAACGCCGAAAAACCTGGCGGTCCGACGGGCGTTGCTGCGGTGGGAACTCCGTGTGGCGCCGCTCAGACTCGCCGCCCGATGCCAAATCCGGCTATTTAAGCCGACCGGCGTCCCCCAACCCTAGCCCATCCACCTTCTCTCTCTTTGCGCCGCCACCTATGCCCGTCCACCTCCTCTCCCCTTCTCTCCGCTGCTCTCTCCCGCTCTCCGGCATCACCATGGTCCGACAGAAGATCACCACGTATGCCGTGCTCACGTTGGAGCGTCGGAGGCAGATAGCGGAGGAGATCAGGCAAGGCGCGCCGCCTGCATCGCTGCCGAGCTGCCTCCGGACTTGCCGGGGCCGAAGAAAGATGAGGGAGAAGAGCTGCCGGAGCTGATGAAGGTGGCGGATCCGAAGGAGGACGAGGCGGAGCAGCCTGGTGCAGCCTTCAACATGGCCGAGGAAGAGGCGGAGTTCACGGTCACCCTAGCCGCGGAGATGGAGGAGCAGCAGGCCATCCTGGATTCCATCCAGGATGAGGCCTATGTGGAGGCCAATCGGGCGTTCCTTCGGCGGGAACAGGCGGAGTCCGACGCGCTCTTCGCCGAACTTGACATGGATATAGAGGAGGATGAGGCCGGAGCGGAGCTACCGGAGCCGCCGGAGGAGCCGGAGCTGCAGTTGCCGCCCATATACCCAGAGCCAAGCACTGAGATCGTCGGCATCTCTGACGAGGAGTAGCTATGTAGTACGTAGGTTTTTTCGTTTGCATGGATTTGATGATCTACTATGAGATGTCTGGATGTAGTTGTGCTAATTTGAGGAGTGTCCCATCACTGTCCGCAGATGCGCCCAGGGGCGTCCACTGGCGTTTGAGGGGTCATATTTGACCATCACGGCTGTAGATACTCTAACCCTTGGCACTGGAGCAGTGGCATGACATTTTGTAGTCAGAATGGAGGCAGGCAGGCCCTTAGGGGTGATACCTTTAGAGGATGGCTTGACCTGTGTTTGTCATGTCGCTCCTGAAGGAGATGGAGAATGTATATGCCATCGTCGTACTCTTTTGAGCTGAGATGAAAAAAGACTAGGTATTCGGTTGGCAACATAGCACATAGAAATACAATAGCATACATGAATTTTGTGTTAACCTTTTAAAGCTAATTAAAATGTAGGGATTCAGAAATTTTGGATGGATTTTTCTTTCTGTTCCTATTGGTTTACCAACAAATTATTTAATCCAATAATGTGGTGGTTGTGTTGCACACATTTGATACTAATGGTATGTATTTCAAAGGACACTCTTATGATGTTGATTTTGTAACTAAGGAACAAAATATGTCAGAAGATGCTTACGTCAAAATTTGAATTGCACTGTTTAAATTCAAAATATCGGCTGGCAAGCCGATAAATAGGACGATAAGTTAACGAGAAGCGATATCCCGAACATTGTTTAAAATACATCTTCTACGTATTTTGGCAGAGGGTGAAATGATTTTGTAGCATAACAGTTTAGATCTAAATTAAATGCATTGTAATTGAGTTTTAAAACGTGAATACAGTTTTAGAACCCCCTCCGTTTCTAAATATAAGGCCTTTTAGAGATTTCTAGACTACATACGGAGCAAAATGAGTGAATCTAACTCTAATGTATGTCTATATACATCCGTATGTAGTTCATAGTGGAATCTCTAAAATGTCTTATATTTAGGAACGGAGAGAGTATTACTTAGTGTTGTATGCCATATGAATCTCCTGATTTAGTCTAAGAAATAACAGATTTACTATAATCAAGTTTTTTTATTGTTTTTATTCATCCTCTTTGAAGGCATTCAATGGTTTCACGTACAATCTACAAGTACATACTAACCTATTCAAACCATGGCAGGTACTTTATTGTAGTCGATGACTTGTGGGATCGACCAACATGGGATATTATTAGTTGTGCTTTTCCAGATAATGGCAACGGGAGTAGAATAATAGTAACTACACGAGTGGAAGATGTGGCTCGCCTGGCATGTCGCAATCATCAGGAGTGCGTCTACAAAATAAAGCCTCTCAACGTCCAAGACTCGAAAAGATTATTCTTTAGTAGAGTGGTTGCGCCTGAGGATGTCAATCCATCCCAATATGAAGAAGGTTCAACTGAAATTTTGAAGAGGTGTGGTGGACTGCCACTCGCTATTATTACAATAGCCGGCATATTAGCTAGTCGTCCAGGAATATTAAGGCGGGATTGGGAGACCATAAGGAGTTATTTGGGAGTTCAATCTGCCACAGACCTCACCATGGAAGGAATGAGGCGTATATTAAACCTTAGTTACATGCATCTTCCTGCTCATCTTCGGGTATGTTCCTTACATCTTGGTATGCATCCAGAGGACCACGAGATCATGAGGGATGATCTTGTTCGACAATGGATAGCTGAAAGCCTTGTGCGAGGTTTACCTGGGCAAGATTTGGAGGATATTGGAAGGAGTTATTTCAATGAGCTTATCAACAGAAGCTTGATTCAGCCTGAAGAGACATTCGCTGGGGATGTGGTTTCTTGCAGAGTGCATGATATGATTCGTGATGTTATTATCAGCAAATGTGAAGAGGAAAATTTCATGAGTATGGTATACAATTCTGAAGACATTGCAAGATTGCGTAAATGCAAGCTCAAGGTTCGCCGATTATTCATGAGCTCGAGTTGTTTTGGTGCAACAAATGGTGCAATATCAAGGACAACTGCTACTAGTCTGTCGAAGGTTAGATCGATTGTATCATTCGGAAAGCGCAAGTGTCTGTTCTCTAGATATCTCCGGGTGCTCTTTATTGAAACCCAGGGGCCCACTGTAGTTAATCTCAGTGATATCAGCCGATTATTTCATCTGAGGTATTTGAAGGTTATTGCACGAAGCATAAGTCTTCCGTCTGAATTGAAAGGACTAGTGCATTTGGAGACGCTGGAACTGGATTCTCATGCACTCATGTCAGATTCAATTCCAGCAGATGTAGTTCAGTTGCCTCGTTTGTCCCACCTGGCTGCTCCAGGTCATAGGCTGCCTAGTGGGATTGGGAACTTGGAATTATTGCGAACTTTGAATGGGTTTCAGTTGACAGATTGCTCGTCGGAAGATATCAAAGGTCTAGGAGAGCTAACAAATTTGCAGGAGCTATGGTTCATCATAGAAGATACAATTGAAATTGATGATGCTTTTGTCTCCTCCATTGAAAAGCTTCGTCAACTGAGACATCTCAGATTGTCTCATGAATGGTGTCTTGACAATGACAGTCTATCATCAATATCAAATCCTCCCCTCCTTATCGAGACACTTGTACTGAAAGGTATCGTGTCCTTCAGAACTCCGAAGTGGATTGGTGACCTCCATTATCTCCGTCACCTGCAGCTGTCTGTTAGGGAGACATCGACTGATGACATTCGCCTGCTTGGAGAGCTGCGCTTCCTAGTGGAACTCAAATTCATTTTGTTGCGTGTCGCTGCAAATGGAGCTTTCATAATCCGCACAGGATTATTTCCAGCTCTGGAGTACTTTTACTCACGCTTTACAGAGCGGCATGATAAGTTACAGTCTGCACAAGGCCATGTTATGTCAAACCTGCGCTTCGAGGTCGGGACAATGCCCAAGCTACAAAGGCTAGAGCTAGAATTAGAGGAGGAGCACTGGGGCGGCGCTACCCCAGTTGGCATGGAGCACCTCTTAGCGCTCCAACAAATCAAGGTATCATTCGACCACCGCTACCCCAGTTGGTATGGACCACCTGTTGCCATCATTGAATTGACCCGCCGTGCCGAGTCTGCGCACAGGGATGCCTTGCAGGCGCACCCGAACCGTCACTCCATTCGCATCAATTAGCAGCAAGAGGAGGCCGAAATTAGTCTTTTGATCATCTTTTTCCAGAGCTTGCTTGCCCCTTCGATGTTTTACATATTTTATTTATTCAGTATTTTTCTTCTTGTGGGCTGTGGCTTTCTTTGTAATAACCATGTACTTCCTCTGTTCATTTTTATAAGACGTTTTAGACATTAGACACTATTCAAAACAGTACTCCCTCCGTAAACTAATATAAGAGCGTTTAGATCACTATTTTAGTAATCTATAAACGCTCTTATATTACTTTAGAGAGGGAGTACGAAGCAAGCTGTCTGAAACGCCTTATAAAAACAAACGGAGGGAGCACACCTATGGGCACAGTGTATGAGTTTTCAGACATTTCTTTGTTCACTCAGGTAGTGCAATGCCGATTGAGTTTTGAGTTATTTGGTCAAGCGTGTATAGCAGCCTCAATTTTTCCTTCAGAAAGTCGTAAACTAGCACAAGTTTTGGCAACGCAAGTATTTGCCGTTCTTCGCGAGTAAGAAGAAAGATAAAGTAGTATACAGAAACAGAATGCCTTTTGCTTTTGGGGGCAAAAATAAGAGGGCAGCAGAGGGTGGGTTGCACAAGGAGCAGCTCCATACCATGAGCTCAACAAGAGTGGGGCTGTAGACACACATCATACGATGCATCATCCATTTCTCCATTGCCACAGGAGGAAATGCAGCCCGTACGTAGAGGCCATGGCAAGGCAGAGTTGGATTCCCAGAGTACAGCCGGAATGCCATCGGTGACCTCTCAATCAGGATACTCGGTCTGCCTGCAGGTCGGAAAACCACACATATTCAGACACAAAAAGAGACCAGGTTCAGCCTTGCCCAGTTCACGCCTACAGAGATTCAGATGGAAATGTGATGACCCAAGAAGTTGCCACTGAGCGTTTGTTTCATCACTACAAGGCTCGACCCCTTGTGCAATCCAATTTATAGTACTAAAAATTTGAAGTGGGTCGCAACGGCAAGGCATATCAAAGTTCCAAACATCACTAGGGAACAATATTTCTAGTGCAGAGTAATGAGGGCAAACCGACAGCTTCAGATACACATATGATGGTCAGTGTTATAGTACATGGTAAACAGAATATTGACTGTAAATCTTGGTACCATTGTACAAGTCCAGCAGTGATAGGCATACTTCTAGATCACAAACCTGCATGACAACTTGTTAGGATCTAGCTAGGGATTGGAGAGGGAAGGGGAAAACTATGGCGGCATCTCGTATTCACTCTCAATCTGTGATGTATTCGATACAGAGGAAGGATTGATTTACAAGCCAATGGCCTCAGCCATTACCAATTCGCCACCGACTAATTACATAGAGGCACTATTTATAACCACTCAGTTAAGCACCCAATCCTTCTCGGCATATCGTGTCGACGGATGCTGGGCCCGCTTGCTGGGCCGGCCCTCTTGGGTCACGAACGGTGCTCCTCCTTGTGGGCTGGAAGTAGAGGCCTTGACACTCCCCTCTTCTTGAAAACCAGCCTGTCCCCAAGCTGGAGCTCTTGGGAAACGCTGCTTGAGCTCTTCTATATCTTCCCATGTAGCCAGCGTGTCAGGCTGATCGGACCACTGAATCAGCCCTTGAGGAACAGCTTATTTGCCACGGCGACGTAGACGCCTCTGCAGCACACGGACTGGGACAGCAAATCGAGAATCAACAGGTGGAAGTTGAGATTGTACCTGACAATTTGGCCCGAGTGCAATCTTCAACTGAGAAACATGTAAAACTGGGTAGATACGACTGCCTTCTGGGAGCGCCAAACGATAAGCTGATGCACCAACTCTCTGAAGAATCTTAAACGGCCCGTAATGCTTGAACAACAACTTATGGTGTGCACGAGGGGCAACAGATGACTGTATGTATGGTTGTAGCTTGAGAAACACTGAATCGCCCACTGCAAACACTCTGTCCGAGCGTTTCTTGTCAGCCTGGTGTTTCATTCTGGCATTCACACGCTCTAAATGTTGCTGTAAAAGACGCAGCATCAAGTCCTGATCACGCAACCAAGTTTCCAAATCAGGCACTGTGCAAGTATCATTCGCTGAAATTCCGAATGTACGAGGGGACTGGCCGTAAAGCACCTCAAATGGTGATTTTCCATCAAGAGCAGAGTGAGGGCTGGTCTTGTACCAATATTCAGCCAAGGAAAGCCACTGCGCCCATTTCACTGGACAAGCATGAGTGAAACAACGCAGGAACGCTTCAAGACACTGGTTCACTTGCTCTGATTGTCCATCAGTTTGAGGATGATGTGAAGAACTCATGCGCAATTTAGTGCCAGTAAGAGCTGCCATCTCCCTCCAGAAACGGCTTGTGAAGATTCTGTCACGATCTGTCACAATGGACTCTGGCATCCCATGCAACTTGTGGATGTTGTCCATGAACACAGAAATAACAGATGATACTGTGAATGGGTGTTGCAGTCCCAGAAAGTGAGCATAACGAGACAATTTATCCACCACAACCAAGATACAGTTATAACGCCCAGAACGAGGAAGCCCTTCAACAAAATCCATTGTCAACATCTGCCAGAACTGTTTGGGCACAGGCAATGGTTCGAGTAAACCTGGGTAACGAACTATGTCAGGCTTCACTCTCTGACAGACAACACATTCCTGCACAAACTGTCGGACCTGCGCTCGCATGCCTTTCTAGTAAAACAATTGTTTCAAGCGACGCGAAGTTACTGGTATACCTGAATGGCCACCAATAGGACTGGTATGAAATGCATCCAACAGTTTGAGTATAAGTTCAGCATTTTCTGGAATCCACAAACGCCCTTTGTAACAGATAAGACCATCTCTCAAAGAGTAATTATCATCCACAGCTTTTTGCACAGCCAGTTTAGTGAGCAACTCTTGAGCTGATGTATTGTCTTGATATAAATCCAACACCTCCTGAAGCCAAGCTGGTTGGTGGTGGGAAATAGCTAGTAGGTGCTCATCCTGCGAAGGTCTGCGCGGCAGAGCATCTGCAACTCGATTTTCTGTCCCTTTTTTATACTGAATTTTGAACTGAAGACCCAATAACTTGGTGAACACTTTTTGCTGCCAGGGCTTATGCAAACGTTGGTCATTCAAATGAGCTAGGCTGCTGTGATCTGTGAGGATTAAAAACTCTGCGTGTTGTAAGTATGAACGCCACTGCTCCACTGCAAGAATGATAGCCATGTACTCTTTTTCATATGTAGAAATCCCTTGCGTGCGAGGGCCCAAGCTCCTGCTCACAAATGCTACAGGATGTCCTTGCTGCAACAAAACTGCTCCCACTCCGAGATCACTAGCATCAGTTTCAATGATGAACTGCTTAGAGAAATCCGGCAAGGCTAGAACAGGTGCTGTTGTGAGAGCTCGCTTTAAATGATCAAAGGCTTGTTGTGCTGCTGGAGACCACACAAAAGGCACATGCTTACGCAGCAGTTGAGTGAGTGGTTGACTAATCATGCCATAATGTTGGACAAACTTTCGATAGTATCCAGAGAGCCCAAGGAAACCACGCAGTTCTTTGAGATTAGTAGGCACAGGCCAATTTTGCACAGTAGAAACTTTTGCTGGATTGGTGGAAACACCATTGCCATCAATCACGTATCCCAGGTAAGCAATACTACGCTGTGCAAATTCACACTTGGAGCTCTTGACCTGCGACTGGTGTTTTTGAAGCAACTGCAACACCTCTTTCAAATGTTGAATATGTTCTTCCAATGTTAGACTGTAGATGAGTATATCGTCGAAGAACACAACAGCACACTTACGTAGTACTGGAGCCAGATCATAATTCATGACAGATTGAAAAGTAGGAGGACCATCTGTTAGGCCAAAAGCGAGGACATTAAACTGGTAATGTCCATTATGCGTATGGAAGGCTGTTTTCTATTCTTCACCCGGGGCCAAACGAATTTGATGGTAACCTGCACGAAGATCAAGCTTGGAAAACCAAGATGCTCCTGTCAACTCATCGAGTAACTCATCAATCGTAGGTAGGGGATATTTGGTCTTCAATGTGATCAGATTAAGGTGCCGATAGTCCACAAAGAGCCGCCATGTCCCATATTTCTTGCGAATCATGATAACAGGGGAAGCAAAAGGAGTTGAACTAGGTGAAATTACTCCAGATTCCAACATCTCTTTTATCTGTTTCTCGATTTCTGTTTTCAGTTCTGGAGAATACCTATAGGGTCGGATATTTACTGGCTGAGCTCCTTCAATCAGAGGAATGCGATGATCACAAGCTCGTCGCGGTGGAAGAGAAGTGGGAATAGCAAACACACTAGCATATTCATCCAACAGTTCCTGTATAGGTGCCGGAAGAGGAACAACTGGACTCTTGTCGCTAGCTGGTTGAACCAAATGGAGCTCGACGACAGTGCAATTAAAGGAAGTAGGAGGATGTCCTTGCAAAAATATTGGAGCTCCCTTATACTCGAATACCAACCATTTTTCAAGCCAGTTCACTTGCATAGTGCCGAGAGAAGAAAGCCAATCCATGCCCACTATGCCATCATAATGTTTCAATGGTAGCACTCTGAAATCACACTCAAATTCATGCCCCCTGGCTGACCACAAACACTGAGGAATAACATGTGTACACTGCAATTGTCCACCACCAGCAATTCTCACACTCTGTTGTTTGGGCAACTGTTGCATACCAGGCACATGAGCTGCTAAACGATCACTGATGAATGAGTGGGAACTTCCCGAGTCAAGCAAGAAGATGACCTTATGACCAGCTAGCTGACAATCAAGCCTGATAGCCGAAGAACCGCCTGTTGCAGTCTGTGTGTCAGCTGACAATACCATCAGATCCATATCACTATCCTCAGAATCACCATTATCCAAGGCACAAAATTCTAGCATCTCTTGCACTACATGCAGTTGCACAGTCTGATTGCACTTATGATCTCGACCCCAGCGCTCACCACAAATGAAACAAAGGCCTTTTGCTCGGCTATAAGCCTTAAGTGTAGCCAACTTATCCTC